GAAAGACATTAAATGAGCTACCAATAAACACTAAACAGACTGCTTACAATGTACTATTTTTCTTAGAAGTAAAAAAACAACATAACAAATAACATGATGTAGTATCTAGATTCTGATACAAACTGAATTAATTCAGACAAATCATCCCAGTTTAAATAATCATTTAATATTACAATTATTCTGAGCAGGGTATTAGTTAGATAGGTAATCTGGGAACAGAGAACAGAATCACTCCTCCTGCAATGGAATAGATACAGTATTAAATAAGGAGATTGTCACAGAGACAGTCAGTCTTGGTCAGGTGTCCAGTCAGTCCAGAGTCCGTTCCCCCCACCCAGGCCTGGGTCCGAAAGAGCACACGCTTCACTGTCACAGTAGCGTTCTTCTCCCCCTACATCCTTCTCCTTACAGTTTTTATCCACAGCTTTCTTCGGCTGTTACGTCAATTTCTGAACTTCGCTTCCTGTCTCTTAGGAGACAACACCCTGAGATGTACCCAAAATCGGGAAACATCTTGGCCAAATTATATAAGCCCATTGTCCAGCTCACATGAACTTAAAAGTGAACACACAAGCATTCTATTCTATTATATAGTCTATATTAACATGTACTGTAACTTAAACCACTACAATGACAAAGTTTTAACAAACTACAAACAAATGAATATGTTTCTCCCAAACAACCCCCTTTCCTGTATCGAGCACTTGGTGCAGTCCAGGCCTAGTGGGAGGTATTTGTCTGGACCACCCCCATCCATGGACCAGGAACATGGTAAATCAAAAAGAAAATTTGCACACAATAATGTATCGACAATACAAAATTAACCAAATATGCTTGCTTCATTGATTATGTATGTCTATACCTAATGTCAATTGCCTAAAATCAACCTATAGCTTAAATCCACACATGTGAACAAAGAAAACTAAATGAAAGCAAGAGAACACATTACCTAACTAATTCCACTACTGGTGGTGGCTTAGTCCCTCACATGGTGAAGGCCAGGGCTGAGTCGCAAAAAAAAATATCTGGCTCCTCAACTGCTAATGTCCACTGATTGATGCCAGGTAGGCAGTATATTGACTTTAGCTGATTTTTCTTTTTCTTTTTTTTTTTTTGTAGGGCTGAGGGGGACCTGATTATTCCCTGTTCATCACTACTTGCAGCTGCTCTGACATACACTTAATCATTTAATCCATTGTTAATATAAAAATATTGCTCATAGCAACTTTAAATTAGATTGTTCAGTGTTTACTTATTTAACATCATATTAGTTTCTATGTTGATTTTCTGGATTGAAAATGGCTTTTCTGTAAACTGTCATTTGATTAGATCCTCTAAATTGACAGGTAGTCAGGCAGGTAGAAAAGAATGTGGAGAACGATAATGGACCTTTGTTTTTATTCACATTTTATCACAGTCTTGTATACAGAGAAAAACCTAACTATGCAATTTGGAGGGATAAATGAGGATAAAATGAGTAAGGTGTGATAAGGTATCTTCAGTTTAATCAATAATTAGCTTTGTTTGTGTGCTATTACACATTAAACACAATGCAGAAGACAATACGCTCAGTGCTCCACTGACCTGCTGGTTAAGCAATTGCAAGTTGAGAAATAGCATTGGAAACTGCAATGTGAGGAGATGTGGTACAGAACAGAACATGACATTGTGGTGGGTGGCATTTGACTGGTGGGTGTGTGGAGGAGCAAAACAATGAGTTCAGAGACTGTATTTAAGGAAGAACATTCACTTGTAGTCTGTTTTGTAGCCATTCACTGACTGATATGATTGCTGTGGAACTGAACATTTTAGCCAGCTGATTTTAACTAGGGTGCATTTTCTAGCATTCAACTTAATTTATTGTACCACAGCATTGTGTTTGATTAGTTAGGCATCCCTTGTTGGATTTACTTTCCCATTCACTGTGCCACACATTGGCAGCCAAAGGCCCTGAAGCAAACCACTGAGTGTGTGTGGCAGTAGTGTACACCCATAGCCTCCAGAGTAATCCTTTTTGCTGGCTAACCAGGTTAATATATTTATTTCACTTGTATGCTTCTGGCATCTCTGCAGCTGTTACTGTCACCTATTTATATATCAGACTATTTCTTGGCAAATGTCTGATGCAGGCAATAGTGGTGCCACACTTATACTTCCCCTTTCCCCCGAGCCCCTTTCCTCTCCTCTTTGCTTCAGCATCTCCTTTCCCTGGCCCCATTTGCTCCCTGGAGCAAGGCTTATACAGAAGCTAGCACAATGAAGTATGGATGGAGAGATTAGCGGCACTTTGTCATCGGCTGAGTGTTGTGTGTTCTCCATTCCAAGGTGCTTGGGGGGCTTGTTGTTGTGACTGATAAAATGGCAGCTGCCCCTGATGACTGCAGTTATGCAGAACATTTATCAAGAGGATGATTTATGTATCTGGCTCTGCGTCACCATCTAGGGTGTTGATGTAGCACAGACTATAATACACTG